CTGAAAACTATGTTTTTGTTTGATTTTACTTTATCAGCTTGTCATTATGAAAAATGACGGGGGGTGGGGTGCTGTGGTGTAGCAGGTAAAGCCGCTGCCTGTGGTGCCGGCATCCCGCATGGGCGCCGGTTCGAGTCCGGGCTGCTCCACTTCCACTGCTATGCCCTGGGAAAGCAGTGAAAGATGGCCTAACTCCTTGGACCCCTGCACCCGTATGGAAGAACTGGAAGGAGCTCCTGGCTCCTGGCTTCAGATCGGCTCAACTCTGGCCATTGCGGCCAATGGGGGAGTGAACCAGTGGATGGAAGACCTCTCTCTCTCTGTGTCTGCTTCTCTCTCAGTGTAACTCTGACTTTCAAATAAATAAATAAATAAATATTAAAAAAAAGAAAAATGAGAGGGATTTTTGAAACATCTTAGACTTAAATTGAAATTTTTTATTTAAGGGGTGTTATGACTTTAAAGTAGTGACAGCAATGACGCACCTACAGAAGATGCTCTATAAATAGTTCTTCAATGTAGTTATTTTATTTTTAAAGTTATATGTATTTGTTTATTTGAAAGGCAGAGTGACAGAGAATGAGGGAGAGACAAAGAAGGAGCTTCTGTGAGCTGGTTCACTCCTCAAGGGCCCACAACAGTGAGGTCTGGGCCAGGCTGAAACCAAGAGCCAGAAACTCCATCTGAGTTTTCCACATGAGAGGCAGGGGCCCAAGCACTTGGCCATCTTCCTTTGTCTTCTAAGCTCATCCGCAGGGTCCATGATCAGAAGTAGAGCAGCTGGGACTCAAGTGCTCAGACATGGGACGCCAGCATCACAAGTGGTGGCTTAACCTGCTGTACTATACTGCTGGCCCCAGTGCATTTTTAAATTCATCTGAGTTTCAACTTCAACTACTTCAACTTCACCATAATGGACAAACAATACTGACTTTAGTTATTATTCTCAGGATTCAACTAAATAACAGCAAGGAAAGTCCTGACGTGGGTTTTACTGTCAATATATATCATTTTCACTTCTCCTTCCTCTTCTTACCTCTCTATTATTTACTGCATTAAACAAAAAATAATCTAAAGCTTTTGGTATTAGTCTCATGGGGTTATTATTTTATAACATTTGTATGACATGGGTCAGCTATGTCATATAACATTTATACGACATTAGGGAATCTACTTCCTTGTCTGTTACCTATTGTGTCAAAGTAAAGAAGCTTAGAAATCTATTTTCTTATATAAAATAATTGAATTATATGGAAGTTATATAACATAACTTGGGGGACAGTGTGGTGCCATAGCGGGTTTAGCCACCTCCACTTCCAATCCAGCTCTCTGCTAATGACCTTGGAAAAGCAGAGGAAGATCGGCTGAGTGTTTGGCCATGTTGGAGACCTGGAAGAAGCTCCTGGCTGCTGCCTGGCCCCAACCCTAGCTGTTGGTGGCCACCTGGGAGTGAACCAGAGGATGGAAGATCCATCTCTCTGTCTCTCTCTCTCTAATTCTGATTTTCAAATAAATAGATAAATAAATAAATAAATTTCTTAAAAAAAAAAAAACATAGCTGGGACAGGCGTTTGATACAGTGGTTAAGTTGCCTTTTGAGATGGCTGCATCCTATATTTGAGTTCCTTGGTTCAAATCCCAGCCCTTCTTCTGATCACTTCCTGTTGGTGGGCAGTAGCAGGTGAGGGCTCTAGTGCTTGGATCTGCTATTCACATAGAGACCCAGATGCAGTTCCAGGCTCCTGACTTTGGTCTGGACCAGCCCTGGCTTCAGCAGGCATTCTGGGACATGGAAGATCTATATCTCTCTGCTTCTCTGTTTCTGTCTCTCTCCCTTTAAACTAAAATAAATGTAAAAAAAAAAAACCACATAATTATGTACCAAACCTAATTTATAATCCATACAAATACAAATTTATAATGTGAGAGGGATGACCCAATTTTGCCTTTTTCTCAAAGAATGAGAAAATTCTAGAGAATATCAGTAGATAGAGAGAGTGACAGTGTAAAGTTATTTTGCATTTAAATAAGATCAGTTTAGGGGCCAGGACTGTGGCTTAGAAGGTAAAGCTGCCACCTGCAGTGCCAGCATCCCACATGGGTGCTGGTTCAAGTCCCAGCTGCTCAACTTCCAATCCAGCTCTCTGCTATGGCCTGGGAAAGCAGTAGAAGATGGCCCAAGTGTTTGGGCACCTACACCCACATGGGAGATCTGGAGGAAGCTCCTGCCTCTAGCTTCGGATGGGCATAGCTCTGGCTGTTTCAGCCAACTGGGGAATGAACCAGTGAATGGAAGACCTCTCTCTCCTCTCTCTCTCTCTCTCTGCCTCTTCTTTCTCTGTGTAACTCTGACTTTCAAGTAGATAAACATTTTTTTTAAAAAAAGTTTAGTTTACAAAAAGAAGAAAGCATATCCTTTGATTAGAATCAGCAGATGATAGTTGGAGTTCAGAGGAGTTGCTTAAATAAGTCACTCTAAGTCCCAACTAGGGTCAAGGGGGCAGCAGACTCATTTCCATTGTGACACTAACGGTGGAAATAGTTTTCCTTATCAAAATGATCTGCAATGAGATTTTTCTCTGTCAATTTTGCTTCATTTTCTTGTCTGAACATTGATTTTATCCCATTTTCCTGTGACTTCTAGATATCAGGCAGGCTCACCTGGATTCATTCATTCTGTGTGCATACTGTCTTTCTTTTCCTTGGAAATTAAGTAAGAGCAAAGTAGAACAAATCAGAACAAAGACACAGGCAAAAGTTGGAAAGAACTCACAAAGAGGAAAAGCTACCAAAACTTGATATTAGTGATTGTAGAGAATTATGTTTTGCCTTTTTTTCATTTTACTTTTGGTGTAAGCCTAACATAAGTGGCTTTGTTATAGAGAATTTGCTTATTGTTAAAATTTTGCAATTGACCATTAAAATGTAATCTAATATATATAGCCAAGGAAAATTTGCTTATTGTTAAAATTTTGCAATTGACCATTAAAATGTAATCTAATATAAATAGCCAAGAAAAATGTACAATGTCCTAATTGCATTTGTCTAATTAATAATAAATTTATCGATGAGCTCTCTAAGAGCAAAGAGAGAGGCTGATGACCATCACTGGTCACGAAGGAAGAAGTATTCAAGGCTGCTAAGAGGAGTCAAGGCCCATTATCAGAGAAAGAGATTCGATCTAGCATTCAGACATGAGACACTATCCTTCAGGAATGCCCAGAAAGAAATAGCTTATTTCCTGGGTCTTTACTTAGTCTGGCAAATTACAATCAAATGGAAAAGAAAATGTTTTCTTTCTAGGGCTGATCCAAAGATGTGCTGTGTCTGCTTACTGGGTCATTCAGATTTGCTTTCTTAAAAAGATAACCCATATCAGAGGGGGGAAGAGATGTGCTCTCTGTGTACAACTAACATACCTGCAGGTTCACCTATAACAGGAAAAAGAAAAAAAAATAAGACGTAATCTCAATTTTCACAAGGGACCAGCTCTTAAAGATTAAGCATTTCATTGCCATCTATGATTCTCACAAGTGGTTAAATCTTAAGGACTTAGTATTTTCAAATGATTTCATGAAAGATCTATATGCCTACTGAAGGAGAATCTAAAACTCATTAGAATAATACAACTGTCTATTGGCTATTTCTGGTAACTAGCTACTGCATAACAGTGCAGTAATAAGTGTCTGCACAGCTGCTTTCTATCCTGTTTGAGACCTTATTGGACAATATACAAAATGAAAAAAACCAGTATAAATTATTTTTAAGATGTCTCAATTTATTATATGCATTGCATTTCTAGTTTTGCTTTGTAAAGAAATTGAATCTAATTACATAAAAATCCTAGTAAGCATTTCAGAAAAAGAAATGAAAAACACTGATTTTAAGTTTAATTGCCCTAAAATTCAAGCTATATTCATGTGAAGTTTTGAGCCACAAAGTTCTATAAGGCTTTTGGGGTAGGCATAAGGCATAGAGGTTAAGACACTGCTTGGGATGCCTGTAGGCCATATCAGAGTACCTCGTTTGAGTCCTGGCTCCCTCACTTCTGCTACAGTTTCCTGCTAATGCATACTGTAGAAGGCAGGTACGTGGTTCCCTGGAACTCACCCAGTTTGAATTCTTGTATGCTGGCTTCAGCATGACGAGGCCCAGATCTTGTTGATATCTGGAGACTGAACCAACAAATATGAGATCAGTTTCTACCTGTCTGTTTCTTTCCACCCTTCAAATGTGGTGAAAACAAATAAATTTTTAAAAAATAAGTTTTTGGGCTTATGAAGTATTTTGGAAGTTCTTCTATTTTTCTTATATGTTCCACCAAATTGCTAGCTCACAACTATGAATTTATTAGTAAAATACTAGTCCAGACATATCATTGTAAGTGATTACAGACGTCACAGGGAAAAATCAGAGAAGCTTCCCATTTATTTCAAACTGCATGCAAAGTCAACTTGAGTGGTACTTAATTAAAGTTCCTATAGCATCATCTTGGTGAGTGGTTAATGGGAGTTAACTTCCAATCCAAGGCCATTGGTGTGTAAGCTGAAGAACAAATTTGCAGTCCTCCTATTCATTCAGCTTAGGAGCCAGTTAATTTTAGTTGTTTGGAGGGCTACAGTCGATTCACAGCTACCTGTGCATCCACAGTCCTTCAGTGCCACGGACTAGAGAAGGCCTTGCTTAGGAGCTGGTTCAACCTTTGGACCTTTCTTAGTTACTGACCGCACTCCCAGAAGTAAGACTTGCACCAGGAGTGTAGAAGCAATAGCAGTGCCAGTTGTGCTCGTAGACTACTGTCTGTTTTTAAATCACAGTGAGTCGATACCAGAAAATGTCATGGAACTCACACTTTTAAAATTGGGTATTGGAATTATTTCACATCAGTGCTTAACTATGAGCCAACTGGTGACTTTGGAAGGCAAGGATATTACTTTAACTATCTCACAAATGGAAATCATGACCACTGAAATGAAACTAACTGGATGCTCCATCCTCAGGAACAGAACAATGTCCATTAGGCATGGGAGTGTGCAGAACATGTACCAAATTACACTGGTGATGGAGACTCAGGGAAAATGGACCAGAGAGCCCAGGTAAAACATGCTGGTAAACCTCACAAGGGTTGTTTTTGTGTACTGGAACCAATGCTAGCAGTAAATAATTCCATAACTGCCTAAAGTCCAATTAGAAAAAAATAGTCATGTTTGATACATCACTACAGGGAATGCAAATTAACTGCTGAAACATCAACCTGCCTTAATAGTACATTAAAAAATATCACTTGGCAAAGAAAAGCAGTCACTCCATGATTAGTCTTTAATTTTCCTTGCAAAGTAACATTTTGTAGCTCAAGGTGAATGAAGTTTAAAGTGAAGTGACTCTGTCTAAACAAAATCAAAACAAATTTGAAGATATTTCTATAAAATTATGATAATAGTTTATCTTGCTCTTTCTGTGTAATGCTTCCGGAAGTAACGCGAGATTTTAAGAACTTGAAGCAGGAAGTTGTAACTTAGAGTTTACTGCTTAATCAGACACTAGAAGTTTTTGGCTAATAAGGAAGAGAAGATGATTGCTTTGAAAAGCATTTTTTTCCTTTAAGAAAGAAATCAAGTGAATTTTATATATGTGTATATATGAAAACAACGTTTGTTATTTCATACTTTGTGTCAGGAAGCCCAGCCTGGTTTAGCAATGTCAGTTTTTCTTTTCCATTGTTTTTGGGAACTTTTTTGTTTTTTTAATTTTAAAATGTTTCATATAAAGCAGAAGGGTATGATGACTAGTTCAATGAGTACATACAGATTTAACAGTTTATAGCATGTTGCTATTTTCATTTTATATGTAAGTATTATATACATACACACAAATACTATTTTCCTTGAAAACAGGTAGACATATTAAAGTCACATGAGGTGGTATTCATGACAAAGACCATAAAATGAGGAAAGAAGGGTATATTACTATGTAAGGGATATAAATAAGTGAAGACAACATTTATAAATATCTACTTACCAAATTAAGATTTTTTTATCATTCTAGATATGTATTTTTATTTGTTTCATCTGCTTCAAAGGCAGAGTGACAGAAAGAGAGAGAAAAAGAAAGATCTTCTGTTTGCTGGTTCACTCCCCAAATGCCTACAAAGCCAGAGCTGGGTCAAGCTGAAGCCAGGAACCCCACCCAGCTTTCCCGTATGGGTGGAAGAAGCCCATGCACTTAAGCCCTCATCTGCTGCTTCCTAGGATGTATTACCAGGAAACAGGCTCCTAAGCAGAGGAACTAGGGCTGGAACCAGAACCTGATATGGATCATGGGAATCAAAAGCAGTGGCTTAACCCATTGTACCAAAATACCTACCCCTTCTTTGTAAAGGATTATATGAGGATATGTCAAAATGTTAATAGGAAAATGGAACTAAAATATAATTTTATTCTGGTACAACATTATTTTAAAATCTGTGCATTTATTCATAAGTTATATTTGCCATATGCATGAATTTTAAATATTACTTTAATATCTATTTATCTGAAAGGCAGCATAGCAAATCTCTCTCTTTCTCTCTATATAAATATAGATAGATATATCTATTATATATCTAATATATATCTAATATCTATAGTTTATCTATTTATCTATCTATCTATCTATATCTATCTATCTTCTATCTAGGTAGAAAGAGAGAGAGAGTTTTTCATCTGCTGATTCATGTCCCAGATGCTCACAATAGCTCGGGCTGGGTGAGGCGGAAGTCAGGATCCAAGAAATTGGTCTGGGTCTCCCACAGAGTGTCAGGAATCTAAGTACTTGACCCTTCATCCACTGATTCTCAGGCACATTAGAAGAAAGCTGGAATAGAAGCAGAAGTAGGATTTGATCCCAGGTGCTCTGGTGGGATGCAAGTGTCCCCAGCAGTGGCTTAATTCACTGCATAACACTCAGCCAGATGCAATTATTTTTGCACCAAAATAAATGTGTATTTAATACCATTTTCCTTGAACTTTTGGAAATACCATGTTAGACGTCTAACAGTTTATTCATGTACTTTTCCCTCTTCCTCTTTTTTGCCAAAGCTTTCACATTTGGAAACCCAGCCTGAACCAAAAGTGCATTCAAATAGGTCTGAAAAGCTCAAGTGGAAAACGTCCTCCTTAAACTTCATTTCAAAAGAGCCAAAATTCCAAGATAATGCATCTTAAGAGAAGAAGGAATAAGAAACAAAAAGCTTGACCTTGTCAAAGAGCCTCCATCTGGCTGGGAAAGGGTGATTCCTAGGAGGGATGTCTGTCATGATTATTTGTTTTCTGCCCAGGGATCCTTGCAGCCTTGTCTGAGTGAGGCAATTGTAAATAAAAATGCAAAGGTCAATTTCACAAAACTTGGTTTGACATTGAGATTCAAGGCGCACTGCTAAGGTTCCTCTCTGATCAAATTGTAACATAAAAAGATGGCAGCTTTCTCACAAGTGTTCAGCTGAACACTTGAAAACTTTGCCATCTGGAGGTTTCTCATACTTTGGGAGGATTGGGCAGAGGTGATGGAATGGGCGAAGTGGTCTCGCTCAGGTCCTCAGGTCGGTAACACGGGTCCCCAGCAGGTGCCAAGTGGAAAGCAATAGAGTGGGTTTCATAGACTCCTATGAAGCTGTTTGTGAAAACCACTCCAGAAATACTCCAATACCACTTTACTCAAAGATATAGATCCAGAGAACAGAGAGAATTTATACTTTTATACTGTCCATGACTATGTTAGCAAAACAAGCAGCAGAGGCCCTGGATGATAGGGTTAAATGCTACACCACCACTGCCTCAGCCTTTGAATGCCACACCTCTTTCCCAGCCTCCATTTGTTTTCAGTAGCCTGGTGTGATTTCTTTTATACTCATTTTGGCTTCTGTTCTAAGAATGCAAAATATCATAAACATTTATGTTTTCTCTCAAATGCTATATGTGTCTCCAAATTATTGTCTGAGAATTCTTGAAAGCACCTTTAAAGGTCTTGGGTTTCATGTGTTTCTTCTTTAAGATTCATTTTATTTATTAGAAAGGCAGAGTTAGAGAGAGAGAGAGACAGAGAGACAGAGAGAGACAGCCAGGGCTGGTCCAGGCTAAAGCCAGGAGCCAGGAGCTTCCTTCTGGTCTCCCAATGGGTCAGGGGCCAAGGAGTTAGGACATCTTCCGCTGCTTTCCTAGGCTCATTAACAGGGAGCTGGATTGGAAATGGAGCAGCCGGGACTAGAATCGGTATTCATATGGGATGGGATGTAGACACTGAAGACTGTGGCTTAACCCGCTACACCAAAGAGTGGGTCCCTCATAGGGTTTTTTAAAATTAAGTACAAACATCCTGGGGCTGGTGCCGTGGCACTTCAGGTTCAAGCCCGGCTTGCAGGGCTGGCATTCCATATAGGTGCCGGTTCAAGCCCTGGCTGCTTCACTTCCAGTCTCAGCTCCCTGTTAATGCACCTGGGAGAGCAGCAGCAGATGGCCCAAGTTCTTGGGCCCCTACACCCATGTGGGAGACCTGGAAGAAGCTCCTGGCTCCTGGCTTCAGCCTGGTCCAGCCTGGATCTTTTGCAGCCATTTGGGAAGTGAATCAGCGGATGGAAGACCTCTCTCTGTGTGTGTCTCTAACTCTGTCTTAGAAATAAAAACAAAATAAAATATTTTAAAAAGAAATTAAGTACAGAGATCCTGTGTGGACTGCTTGCAAACCCCTGAAAAGTAAGTGTTGCAGGAACAAGGCCCTCAAGGACTGGGAGCCATTCTTTGTCCCTCTCTTTCCCTCTCAGTTTCTCAGCTTTGTCCCTCTCCCCAGGCAGGGAGGATAGCTCCCATGACCCAGGGCTACTCACTTATACCCCTGTCCTCATCCAAGCAGATAAACAGCAAGCACATCTCCAGTAGTGGGATATCCGGAGCAGAGTAGCAATTACCCAGGCTGAAGTCTCATGTTCACATGTGCTCATGTTGAGGTTAGTTTCCTTCTCAAGAAAATGGAGGCTTAAGCAACCTCAGCTTCTTTTGATGAACACACTTACAGAAACTCAGATATGAAAAGTGTTTTTTTTTTTTAATTTAAGAAAGATACCTTTAAAAAGGACTACAGAAAAAGGGATACACACACCCAGAGAGAGAGAGAGAGAGAGAGAGACAGAGAAAGAGAGAGAGAGAGAGAGAATCTTTCATCCTCTGGTTCACTCCCCAAATACCAATAGCAGCTAGGGCTGGGCCAAGAGCCAGGAACTCTATTCTGGTCTCCCATGTAGGTGGCAGGGGCCCAAGCATTTAGTCCATCTTCTGCTGTCTTTCCAGGAGCATTAGCAGGGAACTGTACCTGAAGCACTGAATATCCAGGACTTGAACCAGCACTCTGATATGAGATGCTAGTGTCGCAAGTGGAGGCTTAACTGGCTCGACCACAACACCATCGCAAAAAGTAGTGTTGCAAAAAAACAAAACAAAAAGTATTTTCATAAGTTTTAACTATATTTGGTTCTTAGAATCCTATTATTATTATAGTTTTTGAAAAAGGTGATTATAAGCCTTTATTATTTTATAATTATATAATATATATTATAATTTATATATAATATATTATAATTTATAATTATATAATTAGAAAGTAAATGGAAAGCAGACGCCAAATCCAAGATATTCTGAATTTAATTTCCATGGTTTTTGTTCCATACCACACTAGTTTCCATTTGTAACTTATGTTTCTTTCTTTGGGATACTAATTTAGCACATTCTACAACAAATAAACTATATTACCCAGCAATAACCGTATTTCTTTATATTACAGATACATAGCATTATATTCAGGAAGAATAGGTTTCATATTTTTAATGCAAATAGTAGAACTGGACACCCAACTTGAAATTGGATGTTTTGATAACTAAATATGGAGATACAGCAGCTGAGTGGGTCAGACATACACAGTCCTTCTTTTGTTTCTGAGAGGGATTGATTCTGGAAATCCAGACAACAAATTTGCAAATGTTCAAGAACTTATATAAAATAGTGTAATATTGGGGCCAGTGCTATGACAAAGCAGGTTAAGCCACTGCTTGTGGCACCTACATCCAATTTGGGTGCTGGTTCAAGTCCTGGCTACTCCACTTTTAATCCAGCTCTCTGCTAACGTGCTTGGGAGTATGACTCAAGTCCTTGGGCACCTCACTGGCTTGGAAGACACAGAAGAAGCTCCTGGCTTTGGATTGGCCCAGCTCCAGCCATTGTGGCCATTTGGGGAGCAAACTCGTGGCTGTAAGACTTTCTCTCTGTAACTCTGCCTTTCAAATAAATATATCCATTAAAAATAGTGTAATAGGGCCGGCTCAATAGGCTAATCCTCCGCCTGCAGTGCTGGCACCCCGGGTTCTAGTCCCAATCGGGGCACCAGATTCCCAGTTGCTCCTCTTCTAGTCCAGCTCTCTGCTGTGGCCAGGGAGTGCAGTGGAGGATAGCCCAAGTCCTTGGGCCCTGCACCCCATGGGAGACCAGGAGAAGCAACTGGCTCCAGGCTTTGGATCAGCGCGGTGCGCCGACCGCAGCGCGCTGGCCGTGGCGGCCATTGGAGGGTGAACCAACGGAAAAGGAAGACCTTTCTCTCTGTCTCTCTCTCTCACTGTCCCTCTGCCTGTCCAAAAATAAATAAATAAATAAATAGTGTAATAGTGCTATATGACACACACATATATAGAGAATCCTCCCATATACTTTAAATCATCTCTAGATTATTTATCAAATCTAAAACAATATAAGTGCTTTGTAAATAGTTGCTGTATTGTGTTGTTTAGGGATTAATGACAACAGGAAAAAAGCCTGTACATGCTCACTGTATTTTTTTCCATGCTTTTGGACTATAATTTGTTAAATTTGTGAATGTAAAACACATGAAAGTGGAAGCTGTACTGCCATCGTGATGTGAAACTCAAATGGCATATTTATATTGATCTGAAATTCAGAACTTTCCAGTATAAAGTTATCTTGAAATCATAGGGCACCAATTGTTTGGTTAAAACTCATCAAGCAAATTCTCAGATAATAGAAGTTTTATTCAGGGCTCAACTGCCAGGAAGCTGGGTAATCACCAGTTCTCTGCCGACAACAACGATACCCTTTCCTATTCCCATCACATTTCTGGGAGACCTTTTTTAAGTATCCAGGATGTGGCTCCTTGGTGGCGATGAGAAGCAATACCGCACACACCAACTTCAACATCTGACAGCCCTCGGCTGAGCGCTGAGCTTTTACAGGTGTTCACCTATTTTTTTTTCAACTTACTCAGCTTATCAAATTTCACCAAAATTATTCAGTTAGAAACACTAGGAGGCATGTCAATTCTTCTTTGGCAAGACCTTATCTTCACAAATAAAATTTTCACACCTCTTTCTACTTTTTAGTGATGACATTTGTAGTTTAAATGCTTTGGCCAGAATTCTGTCTCTCATATTTGTATTTCTTTTTCAAATTCGTTAAAATGTAATTATTGCCCTTCACAATATATGAGCCTTAAAAAGATATAGAGGATTTTGAGTTAATCAATTCTTTTCTAAGCATACAGGGAGCATATTAGGTTTTTATTATCAAGACATCCCTGACATTTTCCATGTGGAGCATTAATACTCTCTCTCTAATACCAACCAAACAGTCCTCTTATTTTTTAGTAGCATTGCTGTGCATATCTTATTATTTTATTCATGTAGGTGATGAGAAGAGGGTCTGAGAACATATGTGGTGCCTGGTCAAAACTCACAGATTTGATTTAGTAACAGAACAAATGAAAACTGACTACTGTTGAAGTTGACAGGTTTGCTTGACAATATCAAAGAGCATCAGTCATGCATTTCACCCGAGCAGAAAATGACTTGGATATAAATACCAAGCTGTAGGGACTCCAATGTGCTGCCTGCATCTGCCAGCCCTAAGCAACCTCAGTGTGGTGCACATGCTCTCAGAAAGCATTTGTTGTGCTGTTTTTGAAATACGTGGTTGTTCATCAAACTAGCAGCAGACTACTGTATATAATTTTGTGATAAGTTCTTATCAAAAATATTTAGAATGTAAATGCAGTAAGAAAATAAATATGCTTCAGCCTTCCATTTATGATCAAACAGATATTCCATCTTGCAGCCACAGGAATCAGTTTCCTTATAAAGTTGGCCTCCATTTCCATGGAGTTCTCATTTGAGCATTCAAACAGTGAATTGACAATATTCTCCTCAAATCAGGTCGGTACCAAATCTATACAGATGTTTTCTTGTCTTTATTCCTTTAACAATACTGTGTAAAAACCATTTAAATAGCATTTATGTTGAATTAAGCACCGTAAGTTATTCAGAGATGGTTTA